AAAATACTAAATGACCAAAAAATTACACCTTTTGGTAAATTTCTCTGAGTGATAAATTATAATTTTGGATACTGTAGAGAAGAGTTAAAACCCTGTCAGTTTATTTTTGCTGTCTGTGTACAATTAGGAAAAATATCCCTTCACTTCTTATCCAGAGAAACAGCAAGTTAGAGGAAATTTACCAACGTGAAGGAAATCCCCCTCTTTGACGGTGGTACCAGAATGGACGTCTCCAGTAGAAGATATCCCATTACTCTAGGAACACCTCCAAAATGTTATTTTCCCCTCACTTTCTGTATTGGTAAAAACAGTCATAGGAGAAACAAAGTGGTGAATATCCGCAATGAGGACAAAGACAGTAATAAAAACTTGACAGAGGGTCTAACCCTTCTCCACTTCTTTCAAAAATGAAAGAATCACAAATCTCAATATTTTTTTTTTAATGCATAACATTATTCTATTAACCTGTCTTCAGAATTGCATTTTTGTAGCACAATATTAAGTATGACATACAACTAAAAGGTGTACCATGAAAATTTTTTATTACATTGGGGGAAACTACAAAATCACCAGAGATGCTGTAACTATAATATAATGAACCATCCATTATAATACAAATTTAGAATTAAACCCTCTAACTCTATGTAATCCAAATGAGTTATTTAACCAAAGAGAACATTTTCTTTTGTAATAATGTTTTCTCACAGCCCATTATTATGATATAATATTTGTTATGCTTTTTATTAAAATATATTACAAGATAAGCAAAAATAAAATGAACAATGCAAAGTTAGCTCTTGAATGGTGTTAGTGGAAATAGCCTTTTATATTAAGTGTGTATTCTCTTTTGTAGCATGCACGTTAACTTTAAATTCTTTGGCCGGAAGCTTGCATTCCTCACTTATGTTCCCACTGGATGGAACAATCCGTTTTAAAGCATGCAGACAGCTTCCTCATTTAGACTCCATAGGAATGCTAAACCTCATATGATTGCATTTCCACTTCTGTTATAGTTCGGCAGATGTTTCAACAGCTAGGTAACAATTTAAATATTCTGTTGGAAAAAACTAGGTATGTATTTCAAAATCCTTTAGCCTGAATCATCCAGCCATCTGGATGATAAACAGGTGGTGTGAGATAAAAAATCAAGAGTATCCCCTATCCTGTTATTAATAGAAGCTGTGTTTAGATGATATAATAAATACATGCTTACATCACATAACTCCACAGCCATGTTCAAATGAGTCAAACTTAACGAAATACTGATTTATCAAAAGACTATATATATATATATGTTACGCAATTATTTGTCACTTACAGCAGAACTTCACCCAAAAGGGGTATTTCCCTTCTTTGTGTATCCTCTCCCCCTCCATTTGGCACGTAGACGGGAGCTGGTACCAGGTTTTTGACACATATCCGCTCCCACTTCAGGGCCAGATCACTGTGGCTTGCTGAAAAAAAAAAGCCCATTAATATTTAACTATGTGAAGACCTAAGTCATACTTTGCTTAAATCAAGAACTTGAGCATATCTTGTACCGCAATGGTTTCATATTATGCCATAGCTGCACTTACTAGTGAAATGTTTGGGAGTGGTAGTCAGTTTGACAGCTGATTCATGGTCTTTGCTCAGAAGCAGCTTCTGTATGACTAAAACCTGAAACCAGTAGAAATATCCAGAATTATTGTGTATCAATATTGTTGCAATGTATCTTGGTTTGTTTTTATCTTTAAGCTGCACATAATGTCAGTTCGAGCAAGTTTTATTTTTTAATTACCTGTTAGTTAATCTTAACCAGCCATAATTAAATCCATCTTATGCCCAGTTTTTTTTATGTTTCATGTCACCATTTGTGATGGTAGAATGTGTCAAGGTTGAATCTTGTTCAAAATTCAGGGAACCTTTTAAAGTGTATTGGGGGAGGGGGGTGGTAAAACTCGATGTTACTCTTGATGTAACTCTCATTAAGAATTAAGAGACTGTATATGATGCAGCAGGGTAAAACTGGCCAGCAGCAAGGACAATTTTAATGAGCAGGGCGTGGCCTAAAGTTACTAAAGATAATGTGTATGGGATGGGGTTTTATTACAAGATACAATTAGGATACTGGTGAGGATACAGCAGTAAAAATTGGCCACCAGAAGGACAGTTTTAATCAAGGATAATATGCCTAATGGGTATATGCCTAACCTTTATTTTATCTATGGGGATAGGGGGTGTAATGAATGGGGGTTATACTGTATAATGGGAGGTGATTTAGTGCACACTGTTATTACACTTTTTTGTTTTATCTCAAACATCATTAGGTTTTACTGTACTGTATATATAAAACACACACACACACAAAGAGAGAAAACAACAATGTAAAAGGTATACCATAAAAAAAAATATAAAACTCACTCATCAAAACCATGAACGTTTCACTTAAATAAGTATAATTTTTATTAGAGAATTACATTAGAATACAAAATAACTGAAATGCCAAATATTTGTATGATAGTTTTAGCTGAAATTTAAATGTAGTGTACACCCAGAGAGGAAAGGTTTACATTTCTAAACTACAAAGGGTGTTCAAGTCAAACCAGGACTGTGCATTTTACAGGTATAAAAAGGGATGCTCGCATGGCTGTATTACCTGCAATAGTAAGTGGAAAGTGTGTCCTATTACTGATAGGCAGTGCACATGTTGCGAGACCTTCCAGAGACTGTTAATCAAGATGGCAGACAACAGTGTTAGTGTGTGCATGGAACAGCATGCGGTGATGGAGTTTCTTGTGATGGGAAGACGTAAAACCCACAGATATCAACAGGAGAGATAAAGCACATTATGTTGCTGAGATGCTCAGTTGCAGGAAGAGATTTAAATGGTATAAACACTTCAAAGATGGCCATACAATCCGTCAGTGACGATCCTGGCCGTGGTAGTTCCCATCCCACAGCAGTCATTCCTGTAAACTTTCAGCGCGTGGAACACCTGATTCTGGATAATCAACTAATCTTTCTATGGGAATGGTGAGCACAATCATTCACGAATGTCCTAGAATTGTTCAGGCGTACTGACAAATCTTTCTATGCCGAAGCTTTCCAGGCACTAGATAAATGCTGGGACAAGTGTATAAACGTAGCAGGGGAGTATGTTGAAAAAAAAAAGAAATGAAGTTCCCACCCTTTGAAATTTTTCTTTTATTAGATAAACTCAAAAGTCCTGGTTTGACTTGAGTGCCCTTTCGTATGATAGCCACATAAGGCCTCAATCTCCAGTGAGATCTACAGTAAGCCATGGTGCTAAAGGCCTTGCATTTCATCAAATCTGAACGACAGAATGCTCAGTTTTTCTGTACCCTTGCGTTTTTCAATGTTTACCTTTTTTATGTTAATCTCTGTGTTTTTTTTTCTATGAAATAATAATAAAAAAGAGTAATTAAGAATATCTGAAGTGTTGTAGCATATATTGACTAACAAATATCTATAACATTGAAAAGAATAAGAAAAAAAAAAAAATAGAAGGTATAATTCACATTTTTTACATATTTTCTTGCCTTTTATCCACACTTTGCCTATTTCATAGGCAAATGCTGGTGGAAGTTCCAAATCACTCATTAATATTAAACTAGTCACAAACAACTTCCTGACATCTGTATTCTAAATAAGCAATTCCCTGGAGCCACTGCTTTGAATAAATAGCTCCATTTTCGTACAGGAAAAAGTGACATGGACAAAACAGTTTGCCAAGAAACATCAAATTTCCACTGGCCGAGTGAAAAGCATGCGGCTGTATACACTGTTGTTGTAGGACACATTAGGCCCTGTTTTCCTTAATTCCTATTAGGAGTCCTGAAGCAGCCAGTGCGCTATCGTGATTATCTTCCGACTTTCCATTCCAGGAATATCAAGTCTGCATAAAGTACGAGCCAGTACGTCAGAAACTTCACTGGCAGCTTCCTGTGTCTGAGTCATCTGAGAGAGAGGAAACAAGTAACGTTATCCTCAAATGCCTTTTAGTATTCCACAAACAAATATGCAATACATTTTTCCAAATGCTAATAAGCCACACTATGACCACAAAACAAACAACTTTCATGTTTCCAATTATTCTCTGTATTGTAAAAGCTGGCTCCCTGCAATCTGATCAGACTCTGACCTTCGCTTTGGGTCTTGCCATTTTAAAAAAAATCAAAGGCTTTGCAACTAAACAAGGAGATAAATATAGCAAAAAGGATACATTTTCCCAAGAATGCATTTACGTGAGCCATGTACACTTTGTGTGTACAGAAAATTACAACATTTTAACGCAGAACATACAATAACCCTCCCTCTTACCCAACTCTAGTGCATTTTCTGTGGACAAAAGTTTTTACTCATAGTTTAAAATAATTAACCAATCGTATATACATTTCATATTCTACTTACCAGCTGATTCATATCTTGCATTGGTGAGAGTTAAAAATACTGACTCTCTTTTATGATGATAAAGTAGAACTATAGTCTTTCACTGAAAAAAAAGTGCAGCAGCACTTATACAGTGCGCAGCATAAATGACTATACCCCTTTAGAAAAGTAAGATTTTAATCAATATCTCAATGAACACAAGAACAATTTCCAAAATTTTAACAAAACTGAGTTTTATGGCACATTTAGCTCATTACATCAAGGTAAGGTTAATAATATAACTTAATTATAAATTCTTCAGTTTTGCTCAAATTAGTTAATGCAAAAATGAATACACGCCACAACCAAAACTACTACATCTAGTATTTTGTATGACCTCCATGATTTGTAAGGACAGCACCAAGTTTTCTAGGCATAGAATGAACAAGTTGGTGACATATTGCAACATCTATCTTTTTCCATTCTTCAAGAACAACCTCTTTTAGAGCCTGGATGCTGGCTGGAGAGTGATGCTCAACTTGTCTCTTTAGAATTCCCCATAGGTGTTCGATTGGGTTCAGATCAGGAGACATAATTGGCAAATGAATCACTTTCACCCTGTTCTTCTTCAGTAATGCAACAGTGGCCTTAGATGTTTGTTTTGCATAATTGTCATGTTGGAAAATGTACGATGACCAAGGGAACAGAGTGATGGTAGCATCTTCGTTTTCAATACAGAGCAGTACATCTGTGAATTCATGATACCATCAATGAAATACAGCTCCCCGACACCAGCAGCACTCATGCAGCCCCACAGAAGGACACTGCCACCACCATGTTTTACCGTAGGCACCATGCATTTTTCTTTGTACTCCTCACCTTTGTGATGCCATACAGTTTTGAAGGCATCAGTTCCAAAAACATTTATATTAGTCTCATAACTCCAGAGTAGAGTCCCAGTAGTCTTCTTCTTTTTCAGCATAGGTCCTGGCAAATTCTAGGCAGGCTTTTTTGTGCATGGGCTTTAGGAAGGCTTCCTTCGTGGACAATACCCACGCATGCCATTCCTCTGCAGTGTACACCGTATTGTGTCACAGGAAACTATCGCCCCAGTTTGGCTTTTGACTTCTTTAGCAAACTGTAGTGAACTTGCATGGCGATTTTCTTCAACCCTTCTTATCAGAAGACGGTCCTGTGGAGTTGTACCTTGTGAATTCCGTGGACGGCTTGAGCGTCTCTGTGAGATGGCTGTAGTTCCATCTTTGTTACATTTTTGTATCTCTTTTTCTACAGTATTCTGACTGAAAAGTAAAGCTTTTCTGATCTACTTGTAGCCTTCACCTTTCTTGAAATTGTTTTCATTCTCAGGCCTTGTGACATTTCTATTACATGTGGTGACATTGCTGACAGCATGAAATGGGAAGGGGTTTTCTTTGTTAAGTAATGTCCTCGTATAATCAACTGTCTGCTGGACACTTGTTTAATGAATTATAATTAGACTCCCCTGTAGTTTGAATTCTAGTTAATAAGGATTTTGTTGTGTAAAATTCAGCTTTGCTCCTAAGACTTTCATTGGGGTGTATTCATTTTAGCAACATTGTCTTGAATGAATTTGTTAAGAAAAATACTGTTTTGTGTGTGCAAATTAACAAATCTTTTTGCAAGCAATGGCCCACATTTGTGGGAGTATTTTGTAGTATAGCGTCCCATAGAAAATGTTGATTCTGAAAGGAAAGTAAAGGTTTTATGACAAATCTGTTGGCACGTACTTATTTATGCTGAGCACTGGAAGTGCATCTGCAAAGTCCCATAAATACCTATTGACCCTGCAAGTGAAGTCCACCTAGTGCAGCTTCCTGCGATGATGTAGCAACAATCTTGAATTCAGAACAGAGTTGCCACTCTAAAAAAATATGGGTGAATACTTGTGAGCTACTATGACTGAGGTGTTCGTTTAATTATTAGTAATTGTAAACTGCCTAGGTGTAATATTGGGTGCGCTGACACATTCACAAACTCACTTGGTTATGTGTCTAATGATCAATTAATATATATTTATAGTGCCGCGCTCCTACTATAGGTTTTTAATCACATATATAGTGTGTCACTCATCTAAATAAATAAATAAATTAAATAATGATAATTAATAATAAGTGATTGATGTGACATATAAATCAATATTAGAATTATACCAATAAAAGTGCTAACTTATACCATATGTGCTCAATCAATAATAATATTACAATAAATAGTGCAAGTATAATTCATATAGTGCATAAATAAATAAAAAAAGTCTTTTTTATATATAAATTGGTGCAATATGCAATATTGCATATTGCACCAATTTATATATAAAAAAGACTTTTTTTTTATTTATTTATGCACTATATGAATTATACTTGCACTATTTATTGTAATATTATTATTGATTGAGCACATATGGTAAGAGTTGCCACTCTCATGTAAGGTGTTCCTGCTTGCACTACAGTGGAATGAATAAATGTTGCCAGGAGCATGGCTATCAACATAGTCACTGCTGATTCACAAACCTGTACCTTGTGAATTAGCACCTGGCTACACCTAGTCCTGAACACTGTTTTCTGAATTAACAGCACTGCCTCTGTTGCTAAAAACCCTCCCACGGGGGTGGGGGTGAAGACGCCTTGTACATTCAGACATTATACAAACAAAAAATGCAAAATTACAATAATAATGTGTACAAAGTATTAAAACACATGTTAGTGAGCCAAATATCCTGAAAACGAGCAAGAAGACCTTGGGGTATGAGGTTCCTGTATAATATGATTTTGATAAAACCACTTTCTCAGACGAAACAGATTCCTAGGCTTACAGTTCCAGGGCTAAAGCGCGCCACATGCACTATCATGCAGCTTACAGCCCATTAATCCCAAGAGTCACAGATGCCACTTTAAAACAGCATTTCATCACAGTGGTGTTTCAAATTGGTGCATGGCATCAGTGGCTTCTACGGGTCCCAGCAGGGGCTCAGGCTGGAACTGACTGTCAGTGACTGCCAGCATCCAGCATTAGGCCCAGAAGCTTTTAAAACACCCCTGGGTTCCCAATACTTCCACACACGTTTCACAGAAGTAGAAGAAAATGTAAACACACTGATTACTCATCGTGCTTACATAAAGAGTGTAGTTACACTACTTGTGATGTCACTGCATGTGTGTAAATAAGGAGGCTCAGACAGAGTTTTTACAGCTCTGTCCAGCTTCTCCTACAACAGTAGATCACTGCTATAATGAACTATTTTAGCTGACTGCAACCACCAATAAATTGCTATTAGAAGTGATCTGTTGCTGCACAGTTGCATGGTGAGTCTGACTAGATCCAGGTCCCCATGGGATCTAAAAAGAGTAAATTAAAAAATAAATTGTTTAAAAATATAAGCAAAAAACTTCTCCCTCCCCAAAAAATCCCTAGGTAGCAACAAAGATGTTGGATGATTTGGATGACTTTTGCATTCGCTGCACAAGCATTAAATGCTTACCTAAGTAAACGCAATGTCATTTGAATTTTTAGAATGAACAAACATTTGAAAAGTCACCATCGTGCCGACTTAATCTTAACATAATATTATGCTAACAATTTACATGAACCATTAATATCCCTTGGGTGCATCTCAATGTAGCAGTAAATGCATATGTTCAGACTGACCTTTATCTGTTCTACCATGTGATATGCACTAATTTGATATCATTTTAATCAGCAGACTTTATTGATTAAAAGTTTGGATAAATATATGGGGGTGCTGAAACTGCATAAAAGGTTGCATTGGGAAAAATTTAAAGGAAAATGCAGTTTTTTCCAATTCCCCTATTTATTCCAATAAAAATTAAGGTAAACCAAACAAAAATACAGTTTATATATTTAAATTTGCTACCAAAATAAAGTCCTATTTGTCCTGGAAAAAATGCTGTTTACTATATTAGAGTAGCCTACAAACCTAAACAAAACGTAAACATTCATCCAGCCTTCACAAATAATAACCATAATTTGCCTAATACTCCTATTTCATATGGTCAGCAGCAAAATCCAGTAATTAAGGGTACGTGCTCTATAAATGGAGGATGATGGGTGGATGGATGAAAGGTCTGCCTCCTCCATTCATAATTAGTTTTCATTGATGGAAGCTACAGTATAACTTCTAGAATGGAGGATAAGGTGTAAAGGGCCAGCATAGTTGGCACTCTGAGGAGTGCCTGTGACAGGGCCAGACAATCATATTAACCCTGTCAGCACCAGTTGTTACTGCTGCAGGGCAGAGAATTTGGGATTTCAGCTAATAGAGTAGCCAACTTTGCTTTTAACGTACAGTATTTGGCATCCCTTGTGCTGATCTAAAAAAAAAATAATTACACATAGCCTTTAAAGTGAAGCTAAACTCACATTTTCTAAAAAAAATAAAATAAATGCAATATGCCTAAATATAACTAGAATTTACCTCCTATACCTCTCTTCCTTTGTTTCATCTCTTAGGCTCCGTTCACACATAGGCGTTTTGAATCACCATGAATTGTCCTGATTCTGCCCATTATTTCAAAATGCACTGTTAAAATGTCAAATCACACATCAGTCTGTTCGGGTGCCATTCATTTCAATGGCACCTAAAAACGCGGGGCGATCCTGCTGCAATTGCCAGACCTTCTTTCAGGCGATACACATTGCACAACAATCGTGGCAGAAGAGCCCCATGTTTTTAGGTACCTTTGAAATGAATGGGACCTGAACACACTGATGTGCGAATTGACATTTTAACAGTGCGTTTTAAAATAACGGGCAGAATCAATGCAATTCTGCCAGTGATTCAAAATACCTATATGTGAATGGAGTCTTAAATGAAAGATGTTTTCTGCTATTCTCAGACTTCCTGTTCTAGGGTGTTTACATTTGTTCTGCATGCCCACTTGTGTATGTGAATGTAGCCACCTCTTCCTGTTCGATCCCAAAATGGACTACACATCTACCTGCAGACACATTTAGCTCTAAGGGAATTGTAGTACACATAGAACAGATCATGTGACAAAAAAATATGACACTGCTTGTTCTACACTAGTAGCAGTGAGGTGCATCAGTGGAGGATAGGGTGTCAACACCAAAAAAAAATCCTGAAAACAATGTAAGAGACTTTTTAAAAAAATGCAGAGAAATACTTGATATTTATAATGATTAATCTAACAAAAAAATTGAGATTATTGTCACTTTAGCTTTTTATCCCATGAAGCAGAAAACCTCTCCCTTAACAAGTTATCCCTGTCCTCTAGTAAAATTGTCTTTAAAACTGTAAAAAAAGCCCTTGCAAGAAGATGGAGGAGATATCCTACAGTATAATTAATCTTGTTTCCCCTTACAGCTTCTAGTTTTGGCACTCTTGTACAGTATTAGGCCCCATGCACAATAAGCAACACTGTGTAAGCTGACATTGGCTTTCAAAATGACTTTGATACATATTAACACTTACAAAAGAAATACACTGTTTGATGATGTTATGCCACTCAGGAGAACACAGAAGGAAAGTTACACAAAGATGTCTGATCAACTGCAGAGTACACGTTTGCCATTCATCTGATTTACTCTCCACTTGGATATATGTTTTTCAGGGACGTAAGACAAACTGTTGAATTTCTGAAGAGCGATACTAAACTTCCATATAAAGATTTTGCTTCCATCTAGAAGATATAACATGAGACAATTAAGAAAGCATCAGCAGATCTATTTAAATGTAGCACATCTTTGAGCAGGCAGCAATAATATCATCACTAGACTGTATAGCCTGTGCTGGGAGCAGAGCTGTGGAAGGGTACTAACAGGCCCCATCCACTACAGACTTCCTGCATAAAGTTACAGGAATAGGTGGAGACAGGACCAGTCACTGCACAAGGAGAGAAAGCAGCAGTGACAAGTCTGTATTACAGGAAGCTCCTGCTTGGAGGCAAAGTCTCACACTGGATTACTGCA